AGAAATCCAAAGTACCCGCGGAGCCTTTGCAGCGCTTCTACGCGATGGCTCCGTCGTAACCTGGGGCTGTGGCCTTCATGGTGGCAACAGCAGCAAAGTGCAACATCAGTTGACAGATGTGGAGCAAATCGCAAGCAACTTCCATGCTTTCGCTGCCATTAAGGCCGACGGCACGGTTGTATCATGGGGCTTCCCAGAGCGCGGTGGCGACAGCAGTGCCGTGCGAGATCAGCTCAAGAATGTGCGGGGTATCGCAGCCTCCGCTCTTGGTTTTGCTGCCGTTCTTGACAACGACCCAGTCGTGAGCTGGGGCGACTGGGTGGCGCGGCCCTTGACTCCACGGTGAGCCGTGCGGGCTGTGAATTCTTTGCTCTGGCTAGCTTCCACCGTTGCTTGCTTGCTTCGACGCTGTCTTGCGAAAGAGCAAGAAAGCAACAACGACGCCGCCACGAGAAGAAAATCGCTTGTTTGTTGTTTCTTCTGCTCGTGGCAGAATGACGCTGTCTTGCGAAAGTGCGGCTGCTTGGGCGGGGCAACCCTGCTCCTGAGGTTGCCTGTACTGCCCGGTCGCTTTGGATTCGTCGAGGCTGGGAAGGTCGGTCTAACAGAAACCTCTTCATTTCCTGAGTTTCCCACTGCGGACTGCTGGGCTTGGTTGGTTCAAGTTCAGAATTTCCGTTGTGTGGCCGAAAGGTCTTCGGGGTTCTGCTCAACCCGGTGTCCCGTTTTAGCTTCGTTGCCCACTGCTACTGTTTGGATTCTTGAATGATCCGTTCTTCCTCTTGAGAAGTCGCCATTGAGATGGCACACTTTGCAACCCTTCAGACGGGCTTAGCCAGCACCACTCCAAATGCGCGGCTTGTCTTGGCGGGACGGTGCCTGCGGCCTGTGCAAGCAACCTGCGAGTCCGTTGTGTTCGCCTAGGCAGCACTACTCCAAATGCGCGGCTTGTCCAACCCGCGAGTCCGTCGTGCTGGCCAAACGAGAAGCTGGCTCTTGACGTTCTGCCCTGCAGTCATCTTGGCTGCCTCGCCACAGAATGTGGCCGCTTGGAGGCTTGGAACTGCTCTGGTGGTATCAGCATGATGACAGCCGCGATGGCGCGGATGACGGTTCCTGTGGAGCGCCGCTAGCACAAGGGGTGGCACCGTCTGCAAGTCTCCACAGGGATTGGCCACCGTCGAGACGCGGGAGCTCCTCGATTGCTTGGCGCGTTAAATACTTTGCGGCATCTGGCGGGTTTCCTAGTGAAGTAGGGTGTTTCACTTCGGAACGGTGTTTTTTTTTTACCAAATCCCTAATGACTGCACTGCCTTTCGCTGCTGGAATCCCGGCGCCACGGATCGCGCAGCAGCTCAGCGAGGTGGACCCGTTTTTGGTATAGGATAGATCTTAAATCCCCAATCATCCTTTGAGAGACCCGTGTTGTGACTGCCGCTTGGGAATGTTTGCCAGATGCCGCCGGGTTTCTTCTTCTGAGATAGTATACCTTGGGTTGATAAACAGGGTGTCACCGAAGCCTGGGGCTCTCGATGAATGTCTGCAGCTAGAATCAATCTTTCTGGAGGAGGCTCTGGACCACCATGATCCCTGCATTAGTGCTACTACTAGGCCTAAGGACCCATAAGCCCCTGGCGTTCCCCTGGAGTCTGTTGAATCGGCTAAGTAACATACGCTGGCCTGTTGTGGTTTGAGATGAAGAGCGAAACCCTAATTCCCGACTCCTTTCAGAGACCAGTGTTGCGACTTCCGTTTGGGGATGTTGGTCAGCTGCCGCTATGTTTCTTCTTCCATGATACTATACCCTGGGTTGGTACAGTGCGTGCTATGGAGGCTCGGGGCTCCCGATGAACCTTTGCAACTACAACCAGCCATTTTCACAAGGCTCCGGACCGCCGTAACTCGTGTATGACCTCTCCCAGCACCTCACCAGGCCGCCTCTCCGATGCTGACGACGAAGGCCGGGGAGGGTCGCCTGGGAAGAGTAATCCGGTCTAGGTCCAGGTTCCTCCCGCGCTGGCTCTCCACCCCCAACCCGACTCCGAAATGCTTCGTGATGCAGTGTAAGGTCTGTTGTTCTGCATAGATCGAAGTCAAATCGCAGGCTTTTGTGGTCTCACTTGATCTTGCGAACTCCCACGAACCAGTTGTATGTGTGTATGTGTGTGTGTGTGTGTGTGTTTGTGTGCTAAAGAGACAACGCATTGCACGAAGCGTGCATTTATGAAGCACATGGATCCGTCAACGGAGCAGGAGTGCACCATGAAGTTGTGAGGTACCGTGGGAGTCTCAGGCCGATTGACAATCGAAGGCTGCCGAGCGAGAACTATGATGGGCGAACCGTCAACGGCAACTTCAAGTGCTCGCATTGGTACATTGGTGCGGCGGCAGCGTAGTGATTCCCAATGCCTCGGTGTTCTCCTCCTGGCCGCGACGTCCTGTGAGCAGACAAAGGCTCATCGAGACGCAGGAGCTCCTCGATTGCGTGGCACGTTAAATACTTTGCGGCATCTGGCGGGGTTCCTGGTGAAGTAAGGTGTTTCACTTCGGAACGGTGTCTTTCCAAATCCCTAATGACTGCACTGCCTTTCGCTGCTGGAATCCCGGCGCCACGGATCGCGCAGCAGCTCAGCGAGGTGGACCCGTTTGTGGTATCGGATAGATCTTAAATCCCCAATCATCCTTTGAGAGACCCGTGTTGTGACTGCCGCTTGGGAATGTTTGCCAGATGCCGCCGGGTTTCTTCTTCTGAGATAGTATACCTTGGGTTGATACACAGGGTGTCACCGAAGACTGGGGCTCTCGATGAATGTCTGCAGCTAGAATCAATCTTTCTGGAGGAGGCTCTGGACCACCATGATCCCTGCATTAGTCCTACTACTAGGCCTAAGGACCCATAAGCCCCTGGCGTTCCCCTGGAGTCTGTTGAATCGGCTAAGTAACATACGCTGGCCTGTTGTGGTTTGAGATGAAGAGCGAAACCCTAATTCCCGACTCCTTTCATAGACCAGTGTTGCGGCTTCCGTTTGGGGATGTTTGTCAGCTGCCGCTATGTTTCTTCTTCCATGATACTATACCCCTATACCCTGGCTTGGTATAATGCGTGCTATGGAGGCTCCGGGCTCCCGACGAACCTTTGCAACTACGATCAGCCATTTTCACGAGGCTCCGGACCACCGTAATCCCTGGGATGACCTCTCCCGGCACCTCCTCAGGCCGCCTCTCCGATGCCGGTCTTTGGGACGTTGCTTGCTTGCTTCGACGCTGTCTTGCGAAAGAGCAAGCAAGCAACGACGCCGCCACGAGAAGAATGTGCGTGTGTGTAAAAAAGCCAAGTCTTCAGGAAGATTTTAAGATGTGCCATGGCTGATCAGAGACCAGTCAGTCACCTGTGTCTCTGTCCTCATTCGCAGCTCTATTAATTATTGTGAAGTCAGTGAAGCTTCTTGCAATAACGCCATTTTCCGCAGCTGGTGTTTCCGCTGGTACAGTGAGGACGATGTGAGGCGTTCCACCCTTCATAACTTGAGAGGCAGGAATGCCAAGGACGAGTGGCCAGTTCTTGGCCAGGCACATTTCCATATATATAATATATATATATATATATTTATATGTATAGTATCCATATATTATGCATTTGCCAATCCCTCTGACAAGTTGCCACTTGACCTGTTGAGTCAGGCTCTGAGCCCTCACGCTAGTCGGATCTTGATTAAGCGTTCCCACACACAGGGCATAGAGTGAACTACATCGAGTCAAGTGTATGGTACAAAGATGACTCCACGACTCCGTGACTCTATCTCACTACAACTCTATGACTTTATGACTCATGACCCATGGACTCTATGACTCTTGATTCTGTGACTTTACGATCCTATACACTGACTCTATCTCACTACGACTCTATGACTCTATGTCACTGCAACTCTATGACTTTATGACTCATGACTCATGGACTCTATGACTCTTGATTCTGTGACTTTACGATCCTATACACTGGATCTATCACATAGCCCCACACTCTTCGCTGATGATGCTTTCGGGCCAATTGTCTTCTAGTTTTCGTAGGATCCATACAGCAGTGCATTCTTAATCCAGCTCCCGCCGTATGCCCTATACATTAAATCGAAAGCTCCAGAACCGTATAAATACATGGACACACGTAGGCATATACATACATATATACATACACATATGTATGTATTATGTACTTTTGTTGATTATAGCTTATGTCTTAGCGTGATTCCCCGGGAAGATCTCTACATGCTTGAGGTTAAGGGGTTTCGGAGTTTGGTGTAGTTCGAAATCCTGCTCCGCCGCAGTGTCGTGATCCTGCCAGAGTGCGTGCAGATTTGGGTGCGACTCATGTTGCCACCTCCGAAAATCGCGCTCTTTGCCACAGTCACATGGGTAGTTGTCAAAATTAGGGTCCCTTTTTTGGGTACCCTAAAAAATAGGTGCCGTATTACAATAAGGACCCAAAAAGGGACCATGATTTTGACAACCACCCACATACGTTTCATCTTCCGGCCGGATGTCTCTCGGCTAATGCTGTGGGAATTTTGGTCCAAGGGTAAAAGGAGGGACCCTTAATAAGGACCCCTGCGTATATACCCTTAATAGAGCTATTATATACCCATTATATAGCCCATTATAGGGTAGGGGTCCTCATTAGGGGTCCCGCCTTTTCCCCTTTGATTTGGGTGCCAACTGAACTTCCGCCGGCTCTTGGGTATGATGGGCTTGGACATCTACAGTAGGTGGTTTTTATTGCTTGGCGCCGACTGCGGGTCTCTAGTAAACCAAAGCAATGGCTTAGAGTTTAGGTAGGGCATGCGGTTCGGACAAGCTGAAGGTTTATATAATACAGGTTTAGGACTTTAGGGTGCAACATAATCGTCCACAATTGGAGTCGGGTGTCGGGGTATGTTATAGTGTAAACATGTCAAGGACTTCAAGGAAGAGTAAAAGAACAAAGATTCACGCCCGCCTCCTAGGGTTTACTGTAGGGTTACGCCCCGAGAGTGATGTTGGATGCCCTTCCAAGCGCGACCCAGCATCCTGGAAAATGGGGATGCTATGAACTTCGCAAAGAGAATGGCGCCGAAACAAAGGAGACATTTCGACTCATCTGCTGGCGCCAGACTCGCCAAGAAGGCACAAAGGAAAAGGATGTAGCCAGCTTGCCAGAGAAAGGAAAGGAGCCAAAAGAGAGCGTCAGCAACCAGCCACTCTTTCAACTTCCTCCTGACCTTGAATTCGTCACCAGCGCCCTCAGCAAAATACCGGGATCCGAGCTGTCGGAAGAAGAGCCGGGGAAGTGAGTTCAGAGCCATGGACACAGCTGCAATGAGCAAGAGCCGAAGCGTGTCATCCTCGACGGGGCAGTCGAAGTCGCTGGTGACATCCAGGACCCCCGTCACGGAGATAAACAGTGAAGACCTGAAAGGCAGTGGCTACCTAGGGAATCCCAAGCTCTCCTTTCTGAGGGGTCGGTATGGCGGTTCTATAAAGGGTATCCATATCGCAAGCCTAACATGACAGGGGTAACTAATACTGGCTCTTCTCACTTCTACTTGTTGACTGCTTTGTCTCACCCTGTATAGACACTGCCGCGGCTGCTATTACGAAAGGTTCGGTGTTCGCCGCCCATGACGAACTTGCTTTATGGACGAAACCCTCGCGGCGAACCAATCCTGGAACAGTCCTTGCCGGAAAGGTCCAAGTGACATCGCCAAAGAACCCAAAAGAAAGTGTGAGAAGATCATCGCACGCTTCGCCGAAGTCAGGTGCACCGACACCTCCGATTTGGGAGTCAGAGGTGTTGGGGTCAGGGATGGCTCGCGGGGCTACCGTCAAGATCCCCTTCAAAGCCCCGAACCCATTCCTCGAGTTGTGATGAACCCCTTTCAGGGTCAGGCTTCAAAATGCTTGAATTCCAACTCAATTCCTAGAACATGTCCTCAGGCGTAGACTCGCCGGCTCCCACACACAAATCAACATCCTTTGCCTGGCCTTGAAAACCTCCCACATGCAGGTCCTAGCCGTCCTAACCTAACTGCCCTTCAACCCCATACTCTCACCGAAGCTTGTCTGAATTGTGTGACTTCCCCTGCTTCCATATACTTGAGGAAGTCTACATACGATAGAAACACACACAAACCCTCCGACGAACACCCGGATTCCCCGAACCCTCGCACCGGGAAAATGCCCAGGAAGGGATGGCAGGCAGCGAAGGAGACGAGGGCGCGTCGCCAGCGCCGACGGCCCCAGGCAGCATAAAGCCGTGGAAGCTCCTGTCTGGCCATGGAACACTCAGCTCGCTGGAAAACTAGCGTGCCACTATTTTTGTAGCTTCCGCTGGTCATGAAGTCGTCGCCGTCTGCGGCATAATCTCTCACTACGACTACATCGAAGCACCGGAGACACGGTGTGATCACCAAGAAAGTTAAGCGTGACAGGTGCAGCCAAAGGCACGCCTGTAAATCCGAAACTGCCATTTAAAACCTATAAGCCCCTCCCTCTTAACCCCAAACCCTCCTCATCGAGATTCGCGGTCCATTTCGCCAGCAGCTTCGACTTTGCCAAGACTAAGCCTCGGTACTCGGACCCAGCTTTGATTGAATAAGGCGTCTGATGCTATAAACATATATCAAGTATGATATGCCGTGATTAAGTTTACTGGATATACTGTACTAAACAAGGTTTACTAGGACCCCCACAAGTATCCTTTAAGGAAGCCCTTATGGTTGCTAACAAAAGGTACAAGAGTATTTTGGTGCATAATGTAGGGTAGTCGGGGCGTCTAGGTCGGCCCGAGGCTTGTGGCCACCTCTTGGCTCAAAGCCTGTGGAGTTTCAAGAAGAACATGCGGCGAAGTTACCTGGACCCAAAAAGGCTGTAGAATAATTGCCCTTACTAGGTTTTGGGCAATTATTTCACCTACTTTGGGGGTTTTAGGAAATGCAAACCCCAGACACGAAGACCCCTATACAGGACCTACATAGTTTAGAACGGGGCTTCGGGGGGTAGTATTATGTTATATTATACTCTACGTACAACCCGGAGCCCGACGAGATACTATAGGCAATCACACCCACAAGCCCTCGAGCCGAGATGCTCCCCTGTACCCAGCCCTGTCCATTCCACACATGGGTCTGCAAGGAATGCCTGATACAGGGAAGCGGAAAGAAGTGCCCTCTATCGTCGATTCCTGCCCTGTAGGTCACTGTAGGAGCGACATTCCGAGCTTGAAATTCAATGTAGGGGCCTTATTTGAATGGTGTTTCGGGGTATTTCATCTTCTTGCGAAAAGTAAAAACACCCTATGGAACAGCATTCCACCTATTGAAGCCCCTTAAGCTTCCCAAAGATGCACCAGCCGAGATGCTCGTCCACCCAGAGCAGCAGAGCAAGCGACTGCAACGTTCCTCTTACCATGACCCGGATGCCCGTTCTCCGCGCCCAAGTCCGAGGCTGAAGAGAACCAAGCATTCTTCCGATCTGCTGCTGCAGTCCCGGGGAATCTGCGGCTTCTTTGCTCTCCGATTGTTGCGGTGCTTTCCCTGCATGGCTTGACTTGCCCGGGCATCTGCAGAGGCTTGGGCAGCAGGACACCCGAGATGGTGGGATAGCTGTAAGCAAATTCGACTGGCGCCACACGTCCCGCAAACGTGCTCTCCTGTCGGCCAGAATTGCAGCCAGCAAGATCACCACGCAGCAGCCCAAAGTGCAAAGAACGAGCACAGAAGGCGCACGAGTGGGCCAACTGCTCTCCAGCAGTCTGGGCAGCAGCTGCGATGATAGCACCTCGATGTTCGTGCAGGCCACTGCAAGCTCAAGAATCGCTGCGAAGATGGTCAGGTGTGTCGTTGCACACCAGAAACCCGGAAGGTACTCGTCTCCCATGGCTGCAGCAAGTTCTTCTGGCAGTGCCGGTCTTACTCCTTCCATGGACCAGCCGGACTCCGTGAGGAACGCACACAAGCTGTTGTTCCCGTTCAAAGTTGGAGCCACTCGGATATAGATTGGCTGCTGCATGCTGACATTTATCGGCCAGTGCTGTCCCCCGGGGAAGACAACAGACACGTCGACGGCATCGGCCAGCAACTGTGCTCGCCTCCCCGACACGAGCCTGACAACCTCCCCTTCTTGCAGAACCTCAGGGCCATGATACGCCGAGAAATGGGAGTTTCCGAAAATAGGGGGGCCCTAATATAGTACCCTAAATTTTAGGATCCTTATTGTAAGGACCCCAAAATAAGGTACCCCCTATTTTCGCAAACTTCCGAATTAACACTCTCAAAGGTGCTTGCTCTATGGGCCTTGAGGTACCGGGTTACACCGGTCTCAAGTTACTACTTGTAGCCAAGGGACCTCCTCGAAGTCGGAAAATGACAAGAACAGATCATCTGCAGAGTGGTTCACAAGCGGAAATGGGAAAGCTGCCAGCAAGCTCTTATCGAGTTGTCCGACAACGTACCTATACTGAACTTAGAACCCTAGCAACAATTATGATTTTAGCTGTTTCTTAGGGATTATAATCACCAAAAATTAAAAATTATTTCTAAGTACCCCTAAGGTACCTCGGCGTAGCAGGCACTAAGCCCTCCACGCTGAAGGACGAAGCGCTGGTTCGGCCCAGACCTGGCAGTTTCCGAAGATAGGGGGACCCTGGTAGGGTTCCTTTAAAGGGTACTATAAGGGCTCCTTGAAGGCATCTATAGGGGTTCAATTAAGGCTTTAGGGTTTAGGGTTTGGGAGTTTCCGAAGATAGGGGGACCCCTGATATACCTAGAGTCTCCATTGTAGTTCCTCTTATTGGTTTAACCAAATATATAGTTGGCATCCTATAAGGTAACCCCAAAAAGGAACTACAATTGGGATACTACCCTTATAGTAACCCTTGTAGTAGCCCTTATGGTAACCCTTATAGTAACCCTTTTAGTACCCTTGTAGTAGCCCTTATAGTACCCCTTATAGTACCCTTATAGTAACCCTTGTAGTAACCCTCTTTTTGATCCCTTAAAGGGAGTTTCCGAAAATAGGGGGACCCTGATATAATGCCCTAGATAGTAGGATCCTTATTGTAAGGACCCCAAAAGGAGGTGCCTAATTTTCGGAAACTCCCACCTGGCACGGTGACCAGGGCTCCGATGTGCTGGAGGCTGGCATCTAGGAGGACTTCTGCTGCATCTGCCAACGCCTGATCCTGCGTATTCTCCACGAAAAATGTGACGTTCGCCTGGCTGCTTGTAGTCACGGTGCTGGAGGCTGTCATGCTGATGGAGGACGAGGACGACGAACTTGTGAAAGACCTCGTCGACGATGAGGTATCGGTGCTAGTCGTTAATGTGCTAACTGTGGAAGAACTAGTCAATGTTCTTGTCGATGACGATGTGCTAAGCGACGACGAACTTGTCAGTGATCTGGTGGTTGACGACGTGCTGCTTGAGGCAGTCGAGGATGTACTCACCGTAGACGACGAACTCGTAGAGGATCTCGTCGCTGAGGACGAACTCGTGGACGATGTGCTCATCGTTGCCGACGTAGTTGAAGTCAGCGTATGTGTGCTAGAGGTACTGGATGTTATTGTCATCCACGGGTCCGCTGCACAGGCCTCGAGGTCAGCTGCATCAATCGCTTCCGTATATAAGACCACATTTCGTATCGCCCCCTTGCCGTCAAAGCTAGTTGGATTATTGTGCGCCCGTCCGATCTCCACGTTGTGAGTCGCTTGGCCTTTGAAGTTTCCTGAGGTACTCCTGGTGCCCACCAATGCACCGTCCACATAAAGACGCTGTGTTTGGCTGCTCGCGTCATAGACTGCAGAAACTGTCGCCCAGGTCTCGGCTGGAAAAGCATAGTTGGCATCAAGATCGTTGGAGTAAAACCCGAGTTTCAATTTCGTGTTCGTCAAACACAAGTGCAAATGTCCGCTATTGACAAACGGCCACGTCTGGCCGCTCCCGAGCCAACATGTCCAGCCGCCTGGGACGGGCTCAAACACATACAAGCTTGCGATCATCGTAAAAGAGGTATCCGCAAAGTCTGTGCTTGGGACTTTGGTGTCGACTGGGAATCCCCCCGACAACGTGCCGTAGTCAGAATACACCATCGAATCTGTATGTGGGCATTGCGACAACAGGCTGTCATCCCACCCTGGTCCTCCCCCCTTCGCAGTCGAACTTCGGAAGCAGGCAGCGGTGATCATCAAATACACCCAGCAGCAAACCATGATGCCAAGGCAGATGTGGAAAACGCTTAATGCCACCGTCTCTGTGAGCACTCACATTGCTTTATTATATGGGCCTTACTCATTAGAACAGGGTATTAAGGAACCCCACACAAGTATTGGCAATTATTAAAGCCCCTATAGCACTTCTTCCCACTGGATTCAGTAGAGAACCCCGTGACAGCATCTTCAAGTGCCTTAAGCCTTAAGCAGAATTGGCAGCAAAGGGCACCACAACTGGCATCTTCGGCAGGGCAAGAGACAGGGGGACTACTTCGTGGAACCGAGTGCATCTTGTAAAGAACGCCTGCCGAAACGCACGTTTGACAGAAGGACCAACAGAGCATGTAGCTGTCGCTGTGGTTTTCACACTTGTCGAAAGCCCCTCCGGCAACAGCCATGAACAGCCTTGAGTCCACAACGATACTTCAAGAGCATGGGGGAACGGAAACAACGGCCTTTTGTTTCTGTCCAAACAACTTTCTTTCTGCAGATCCTGTGCTGAGGATGAAACACACCGGGGGGACCTTTCCTCGCATTTCAGTTGTTTGAGCCACAATACGGGCCATAAATTTCCTCGGCGAGATTCAGAGATGAGACCCGAGATAAGACCCCTACATACCGGACCCCAAATCAGAGGTATCCTGTACAACCATCTATAATGGCCCTCAAAGTCCTCAAGCAACACACCCCTAGTAATGCAACATGTTCCCATATCAGACCTTCTCAGATCCTCATATAGAATCGTTGAACAACCTGTTAAACAAAACCTCCAACCCCAATACGCAGCCCTCCCCCCCACCCCCGTAGATCATCTTGAGCCCAACACCGTCTGGCAGCTCATCGGGCCCGTCCTTGAGTTCGGAAGGGGCACGCGTACAAAAGACAAAGAGAGAGTGCCTTAGCTTTGGGAGTTTTACCGGTCGAGGCGGAAGTCTCTGTAGTCGCCCAGCAGGCGCACTGCATGTTCTTCTGCAAATCTTACCTTTGGTTGGTAGGGAATGGAAGCATGGTAGTAATGGTAGTTATAATTGATTCTACATTCCCTACTAACCAAAGGTAAGACATGTGTCTATGTCCTTCCAAGATAGCAGCGACCTAAATAAAACACTGGTCGGGTGGTCGGGTCAGGTTTCCTCTGGTCCCAAGTGACCTTACATGTCAAAGGTCAGAGACCGTACTATAGGGGCCTGAACTTAGGCCTAAATAACTACCAATCCTATTTTGGGGATTCCTTATTAAACTTATAGTGCAATATACCCCCAAACCCTACTCTAGTTCTTGAGGCCCCTATATGACGGGAAGGTTTGGAGATGCCTGCCGAAGCTCTGGGACAAACTTCACAGCTTCAGGGTTCTGAGGTTGCGAGGAGCCTTGCAGATGGCAGCCCACTAAACCCTCAAGCTCAGACATGTCAGTTGGGTAGTTGTCAAAATTGGAGTGCCTTTTTGGGCAACCTAAATATTAGGTGCCGTATTATTATACTAAGGACCCAACAAGGGACCATAAATTTGACAACCACCTAGTTAGTCTCGGAATGCTTGACAACTTCTTCGGGCCCTGGGAAGCCGCAAACTGTATCGGGGCGGCCTGCATGGCTTAGAGTAAGGATTTGGGTAAATCAATACTGGATACTCTGGATCCCCCCATATTATTTCACCCAAGACTACAGACTGCTTTTTTGGGTTCCTGTTAAGGGGTTTAATTGGAATTACCATAAAAAGACAACGCACTACTTACTGTAATCCTATGACGGCAACTTATACCGTAAACCCCTGAACCCTGAAAATTAAACTTTTAACAAGAACCCAGTTCCCAAACACTGAGCCCGCGAATGGCAGGACGGGCTCCGGGCCGTATCCTCGGCCTCCATGCCCGCCTGCATTCCGATTTCTGGCGTCCCCTGAAAACTCCAATATCCCTTAACCAGATACCCGAAACTAGAGTAGGATCCCGAAAATGATTTGAGTGATAATCCTGAATTACGGGGATATTGGAGTCTCTGGGTCGCTGGCTTGGGCTTCTGAGGTCGGGAGACTGCACTCTGACATTTGTTGCGTTTTGCGTTCGGCTCTTTTCCGCCTTCCTACTTGTCGGGTATCATGGGGAGCTACAGGTTAGACTTTTTGGTTATATAGGGATTATATAGGGACTATACTACCCAAAAAAGGTTAAAGGTTACCTACTCGACTACTAAGAGCCCCTTATACAACCCCTATAGATCCCTTAGAGTTGCCCCTTAAGGATACCCTAAGCCCCAAAAAAGCCTTCCTGCAGTCGGAGTAGCATTATGGTTGAACCTTCTGGGCGCGGTTTCGGCTCTCAGACTCACGCCCGGTTTACAGTTTCTGGGTTCCTTTAAAAGGGTTACTATAAGGGTACTATAAGGGTTCCTTCAAGGGCTCTATACGGGTTTGGAGTTTCAGAAAAATTGGGGTACCTTATTTTTTTGGGTCCCTATAATAAAGATCCTACTATTTAGGGTACTATCTTAGGTTTCCCTTTTGTCGGAAACCCCCAGTTCAGTTCAGGGCAGGGTTCAGATGCATCGAAGTGATCGGGGGCCTTGGGCCTAGGACAGGATATGGGTAGTTGTCAAAATCATCGTCCCTTTTTGGGTACCCTAAAATGAGGTGCCGTATGATAACAGGGACCCAAAAAGGGACCCTAATTTTGAGAACCACCCATATAGGCGTATCTTCGGGTTTGGAGTTTAGAGCACGAGATCCTCGAGGGAGGGGGGACGCAGGGGATACCCAGAAATCCCAATACCCCTTAATTAAGGGATATACCTTCAATTATTAGAGGCCCCAAAAAAATCATGATTTGAGGTGTAGTGTATTCCTTATTTAAGGGGCATTGGGATCTCTGGATATATAAACAACCGAAGAGTCCCCAATACTTTCGAATACTGTCGGAGTCGAAGGTTCCCTTAGACTCCCCAAGCCCTCCATGCTTGAACCACCCACCTTTTAGGATCCGACAGAGGAACTAGGCTAGAATTCTTCCTTCAGCGTCCCTTTGCAACTTCCTTGAAAAAGCCCTCGAGAAGTAGGATAAAAATATTCCTTCAGAATCCTTTCGTAACTGCCTTAGGGGCCTGCATGGACTAACAGTGAAGACATCAACCCGCAACAGCAACCAAAGATCCATGCAGAATGATTGGAAGGCTGGCGTGTGGAGTTTAGCATGCACATCTGGCTAGTTGTTTGGGATTAGGGGCTCGTGTACGGGTTGTGCACCTCTCCGGACAGCAGTATAGTACCTCCAAAACAGACAAACAAACAAACGAAGCGATGCAGTTGTTCCTTTACGAAATCCTAACTGAACCAACACCGCAGCGTTTATGTGCGACCGAAGGGCTGGAAGAACAGCCTTTGCCTCTGTGTCCTGGCTCACATTCGAGATCCATTGCTTCTGCTGCGAGGCAATATGAGCGAACATTTCTATGATTGTTGTTGATATTTTGGTTATAAGTCATTGATGTTACAAATGAAACATGTTGTTTCTATCTCACAGCAGAGCCAGCCCAGTTGGCTCTCTTCTCATTGTGTCCTTGCTGGAAAGAAGAATAAGTGTGGTCAGCTCAGTAGCGCGACTTTGAAAAACTGCACTGACTGCCTGGACTCTTACTGTGCGCCAGCCCCCAGAGCTGAAATCCACGACATGGGGGTGTCCGAAAATAGGGGTACCTTGTTTGGGGGTCCTTATAGTAAGGATCCTATTATTTAGGGTACCATATCAGGGTCCCCTATTTTCGGAAACCCCCGCATGGATAGTACAGGACCCGGAACGTAGGATAGCAGCAGGAGAAGGTCTTGTAGACTCCTGAACTCCAGACAAAGCTTGCTCCAGTGGCCAAATCTTACGCTGCCACACGCGGCACGCCCCGGTTCAAGATTTTTAAACCAGACATCTACTCTCAGCAACCCCCTGGAAACTCGAGCAGCGGTGCCCAATGAACTTGAACCCCCCGAGTCCCACA